TATATATATATATATATTTAAACCTCTAGCTGTGCCATATGGGATGATTTCCTCTCGTCATAGGGATGGCAGCGGTCAGTGTGGAAAGGAAGGTCTCCAAAAGACACACAAACAGAAATAAAGACTGAACAGAGGTTCCTAAATGACCTTCTGTCAGAAGCCTAAGTCAAGTTTTGCCTGGAGTGGGAATTTAAATGAACCAAATATTTTGAAGTCAATGGAACAGAAGAGCTTTAGGGCTTGTTCACATCATGTCCAGACCAGAAGTTTGCTGCTGGACCAAAAAAACATCCCTATGGTATTTCTGGGCTGTTCACACCAGCGCAGTCCATTCCGGTCCAGACAATGGACTGGTCTGGAATGCACTGGAAACACATCAAAAACTAAACATTAGACCTCGCGGACTTCATGTGACAAATAAGACTGGCAGCACCTTCAGTGGATGTTTTGTTTTTTATCTGATAAGCAGTGTGCACTTTAGTTGTATCTACTGTGTAATAGTATGCAGAATAAATTATTTTAGTACCAGTCTCTCGTTTTCTGTTGCTGTAAATCGAAATGGTCCATTTTAGATTGACGATACATCTACCTAAGGACTGGACCCAACTCCATTGATTGGAAGACTCAACCGGCACCTAAAATGTGGTGATACCACAAGCATGCCCACACCCAAACACTTCTTAGAACTGCAGTTAAAAAAAAACGACATGATGTCACAGGAATAAAAAAAAAAAAAATACATGTATATTAAAAGGTGCATTTTGCACAAATCTGTACATACATGTGCACTGTGTGCTAAAAAAGCATAGCAGTAGTAAAACATAACAGAAAAGTAGTTGGTAAGCGCACAATGGATAGAAGGGCATCAGAACAGCAAATATTTTAATCCAGTTTTGTCACACACAAAACAACTTGAGAATTCTGCAGGGAAAACAAAAAAACAAATATGACAAGGAAAAAGTAATACATATAAAAATACCCATTTGGGGGGCTTGCTCCGCTCTGACCATCGCAACAATACGAGAGCAAAAAAACGTTCTGCAATAACAGGTGTAAAAACATATCCAAAACAGACCACTTTAGCTGCCTCTACATTGCCTTGCTTGCCTCAATATGAGGAAAACGAGGAAGCCTACAGTCTGTGCTACTAAAACATAAAAAGGAAAGTCAAATTGGAACTAGAAAAAAAAATCAAAAACCTGTAAAACAAAAAGTAAATCGCTCCTCACTATAGAGCCCAGATGGACACAATTTGCCAATTCTGAGTGTCTGTAATGCCACAAGTAACTGTAGTGACAGTTATGGGCGCACAGGGCACTGGTTCTTTCACATTTTCCCTATGATGCAAATTGGTCTCTTGCTTCCTAGTTACTTCTGAAGCAACAATCGGACAAAGTCTGCATTTGACAATTTCCGTGGCTCCCCTTCGCCTCCAGATGATGATGCCGACTGTGCTTGAGGGGTGCCATTTTCTGTTTTTGTGGCTGCTGGAGCATTCTGACGGTGTAAAGAACGGGGTAAAAGGGCCACTTGGGTTCTTCCTCTTCCTCTTCTATGAACAGAAAACAAAAACACAGTTATGGAACAATGTGTTTCTCTATTCTGTATCAATATCTGAAACCTGTTATGAGAGAACAATGTGGGCTGCCATTGATTACTGTCTGAAAATACTAGTTGCCTGGATATCATGATGACCCTCTGGCTTCAACGTCTTCCAAATATACTAAATCAGGAAAGCTAAAGGCCGTGAATGTGGATGCCCTTCCGGACATTTACCGGCCCTTAAACCCATTACCATGGAGGCCATCTTACTGCCAATGGTCTGCTGAAAATGTATTTCTTATAGGAGGGGGGCGAGCTTTTCTAATATTTGTAAAAGGAAAAAAAGGGCAGATCCAGACTTGCAACCTGAACTCTGGAAGTGGATGAGCTGAATTGCCATTAATATGGATTTTTAGACTTATCTATAATAACTGCTTTGGTATTTTGCAGACACTGGAAGAAAGAAATAAGGAAGCAGTCTGTCAGTTCTTACCAAGTGTTCTGTTGGAGATGCAAAGTATTAGAAAGAGTCAGCATGACACCCAGGCAACTGGAATTGGGTGCAGAATGAAAGATTCACATGTTGAAGAGGATCTCAATATAAAACTCAACATTCTCAACACCCTCTTAAGGCCCAATAGGGGGACTTTCTATTGAAATAAGTGGAGTCCGCCATGCACATGCCAACCAACCAACCACACTGGTTAATTGGGAAAACAGGAGAATTTCTGAAGAGGATTACTGGGGCCAAAATACCATAATCAGCACAGGGAAGAGGTTCCTTTAACCTCCCTGGCGGTATGATTATGTCAGGAATTTTGTACCAAAAGCGGTACATTGTTTTGCATGGAAATTTGGTGTTATTTGTTGTAATTCTATACTTACGCTCCATATGTTTGTTGTGGCATCATGGGCCTATTAAACTGTGCAGTTTCTAGGGCTTCAGTCTGTTTTCTCATAGGAGGATTGCTAATTGCCACGCTAATTGTGTGCTCCTTAATCCTGGTGCCATCAAGTTTAATCACAGCTTGTGAAGCCTGTGCCTCATTTTCATACTCCACATATGCAAGTCCCTTTAAATAAAAAGTAAAACAATTCAGCATTAAAAGCTTTGTAATACTAACAGATTACTAAATTATACACGTAAAAACAAATTAGAAGCTGCTTGCAGACAAACATTAAACTTCAGTAATGGCTTATCAACCTAAGCTTTAAACTAAAATACCGTGAAAGCACACCTGGCTGCCAAATAATACTTGGATTTGCAATCTATATTTCTATGTTAAGTTTACCATATACGTAAAGCAATTCAGTGTTACAAGCAGCCTAAAATAAGATCTAACCTTCTGTACTGAATACTCAAAGTTCAGCAACAGTGCTCCTTATTTACAAGTTTAAATGATTACAAAGATTCAACCCCTTCCCACCCACCATTTGTATATTAAAATGTTCTTCTAGTTAAATGTATTTCAGCCTGAGTGAGGACATGCATGTGCTGTCCCACTGTATTCTGATAATATGAGTAAGGCGGATGCCTTATTTCCTTTTTTCGTTGGAATGTATGTTAATACTGGTGTATAATAAAGAATTTAAAAAAAAAAAAAAAAAATGTTCTTCTAGTAAGTGCCCCATCCTGAGAGTAAATTTATTTGCGACTGCAGCACCCTTTTGGAGATTGCTCTAATCTATACAAGAATGTGCAGACCGCAGTGGGAAGGATAGAAGACTTAAACAGCAACCATTTCCAGGTCTATAGACGGCGGCCAGCAGAAGTGGTTAAAACAAGAACACTGCTGCTGCTGGAGCCGTGTTCTTGGTGTCATTTTTAACAGCCAGTGATGGCTGTTCATGTACAAGCAATCCGGCATCTATACAGCCGTCGGATCATTTGTACCATGCGGCGCCCTGCCCCCGCCAGCGGTTTTCCCAGGCTCCGCTATCCCCATGCAGCGCTCAGGACTGGCACGGCGGGTCTCCCCCCAACGGTCGGAGAGAGATTCAGCAGCTTCCAGCAACTGATCTCTCCTCCGATCACTGGACCCGGAAGTGATGTGTATTAGCCTGGGTTCACACCTAGGCGTATTGCAAAAGCGCGTCTGTCGCGCGTTTTTTTTACCGGATTCGCGGTAAAAAAGACGCGCGACCGTCGCGCGATTCCAAAGGCTACTTGGCTGTATTCCAATGGAAAACGCCCTACAAAACGGCCCAAAGTAGTGCCTGTACCTTTTCAGGCGTGGGCCGTTTTGTAGCGCGTTCGGGACGGGCGGAAATACTAGGGCCATTAATCACTGTTAGTTCTAAACTGATGAGCGGTAAAAGCGTTTAAAGTGTTCCCTATGGGAAATTTGGGGTATTTACGTTTTTTGCGGCTTCACGGGCAAACACAATGTTGAGGCTTGATATCTATTTACCCCGAAGTGACCCCGTCACCAAATAATTGGGTATTATATTATGTTTTTGCGCACTAAATTTTAATTTTGTTTATTTTAGCCTAAAAATACCGGTTTGATAAACATTTGCGCAAATACCGTGCGACATACAAAATTGCAAATAGCATTTTTTTAATTCTACGCGGCCTCTGCTTTCTGAAGCTGTTTTCTAGCCAAAAATGTATATTTTATCATGTGTGCAGAACTAGTAAGAAAATGCTCCGGACAGCAAGTGGTTTGTTTTCTTGTAATGCTGCAGCCCGTCAGGTAAACCATAGATGTGATCCAGGTTTCTTTAGAGCCACCAGACCACTTCTAAGTATGTGTGGGCAGGTGATCGGGTGCCAAAACATTAAAGTTTTCACTTATACAATTAAGTACATTTGTCTTTTTCAATTTATTATATCTGAAGCCTGTCAAGACTAGTTTACCGATCAGTCTACTAGACTACCAAATGCATTGTATCCAGTCTACAAAACAAGGTAATGTTCTCCTCCCCCTTTTTTTCCCCCAAGCAGATTTAAAAATATATATATATATATCAAGAACAGCAGGGAACAATACAAGATGCTGCTTATCTGCACATTATAAAGCCTCACCTTTGGCTTCCCTGAGCGATTGGTTACTAGACGGAGCTCTTTGATGGTGCCATGTTCTTTGAAGATTTCTTCCACTTCTTCCTTAGTGCATGCAAATGGCAACCCAGAGACAAATAACTTGTGTTTCTCCAGAGAGGTACTATACCTAAACACCTGAGAAAGTGAAATATATAGTTAACCAAGTCGTAGGGTACTGGATGTCAATTTATATTCTACTGAAGTCCCTTGTGTAGGAATTTCAGAAAGAAAGTTTCTGCTTAGTACTTGAGTGAAAAAGAAACATGGTAATATAACAAGACAACTGGAATGTTCAATGACTGGGGTAGATCTACTATTTAGAAAAGGAGTCCAAAATGGTAGAAAAAGAAATAAGATTATTATAAAAGAACTTCTAAATGAACAGAAGACTGGCCATTAGCTTGAAATGCTGGCAAGCTAGCCTGCATTCTGCTAATAAGTCCATGTTACATGCTTAACTAAAACAGTAGTTGTAACAGAAACCATCATCAGGGTTGGAGACAATAATGTGGAATCCCATCCAGCAGGAAACCTGCCGGCAGATTATTATTCATTAAGAGACACAGCAGCATTCAAGCATAAGTGGGTTTAAATCACCGCCTGCAGGAGGACGCTGGATGCAGTAAAACACCAATCTAAGGGGCAACACCACCACCAGCTAAACACTTTAGTCAGTAGCAAGGAGTACAAAAGTACAAACCAACTCTAAAGACACATGCCAAACACAACTAAGAGACCTGTGCCTCAGTAAACCCATAGGGGGAAAGTTTAAAGTTAGTGCAAACATTTTATTTTCCCTTTTGTTCAAGAGACAAAAGTAGAATTAAAGAAATGATGGGATATCCACAAGCAGTAACCATAAGGAGTGGACAACACACACCAAGAAAGGTGGTTTAAGTCAAAGGAAAGGGGCAAACAGATAAGGCATGCTTTGTCTTACAGTGCACAACCTAAAGTCTAGGCACAAACATATTTATTTAGGTATATTCCTCGATAACCACAAAGATCGGTCACCCTGAGAGAGAGAGGGAGAGAGCAGCTGTGACCGGTCTTTATTACACAAAGCTCCTGCACAGAGGCAAACTATTACACTGGATTAATGCACAGATCTAAAAGTAATACACAAAGTATACCAAGATTCAAGCAAGAAGAAAAATGGACCAACAGGTGGAGCAATGCAATGTGTCTGATGTCCATACAGATGTACAGAGCACTGTGGTTACACTACTGAGACACTGACGGACATCTGCTTTACTTGGCCTTCGAGCATCTCTAACTTTACACTGAATACTGAGATGCTATGGGAGACAACAGAACGCTCCAGCCTCAACTTAAGGGGAAAAGTTCACTTTTTGAAAAAAAATATGAAATGCACACTTCTTCACATATGGTTAGACTTTTCTCAGCAGAGGCATGATGGATAGAAGAGGGGTTATATGGGGCAGGCTTACAAGTTTTCTTTCCTCCTGTAGGTGGTAGTATAACCCAACTGTATATAAATTCATGTGTTACTAAATGGGCATGAAAGGAAAGCCTTTCAAAGACATAAAATAGGAGGGACATTTTCTATCTTGTATTAACAATGTAGATAATGCACTTTTACTTAGAATGGAGAGTGGGCTTAGCATGATGGAAAAGAATGTCCTCTGACCAAAATTCCACCCATTGTTTTTACAAGTTAATAAGATACTAGTGCATCAATCTTCCTAATTTTTTAAATAGAAACAAACACCACCTAAAGGATATGTCTGGGCAAAATAAAATAAACCTATGTTGTACATGGTTGCAGTACATGCACAGTTCCCACTGTTATCTCTCTTTAAAACCTGTTGATCCTGCCAATACAGTGAGCTCTTAACTTCTGTAGCCAGCTGCCTGCCCCTTCTGGGCTGGACTAAAGAACAAATCTTCCCTTCTCTCTTTTGGACTGGAATAAAGAACACCTCTAACTCTCTAAAACATAAGGGGGAGGTGTCCTATAGTCCAGAAGGGGAGAACTGAAGCACGGCTGAAAACATTATTTGGGATTTCAATGCATTACAGGTAATTAGGAGCTTAAAATCAGGAAGTATTTTTTATGTACTTGCAGGTTTTTTAACGAGACAAAACATCTGGAAGGGTGTATGTATGCATGTACTGAATATTTCTTTTGATTTATTATTTTGCCTAGACGTGCACTTTAAGTTTGAACAGATCAAGAACAGGTCAAGTACAGGTCATATACAAACCTTAAAGTCTGGCTGCTTGTTCTTGTCCACACATGGGGAAACAAACATTGGCCTCCCATTGATCTCCTGCCGATCTAGTTTCAGTGCATCTAGGGCATTTTTCTCATTTGTAAACTCAACGTAGCAATATCCACGGAAGGTGCCCTTGATGTTATAGACAACTCTGACATCAGTGATCTCCCCACAAGCAGAGAAGACTTTCCTAAGCTTCTTTTCTGGATCAGGCATATTAAAGGACAGATTGCTGACAAACACAGTTATATTGTCTTTGTTAGTATTGTGCAGAACCTTTGGCTGCTCCTTTGTGGTAGGGGGTTTGGGTCTGTCCATAGAGGTGGCCCTCCGGCCAAACAGTCCAACTTCGGTCTCCATCTCCTCGTTCTCATCGTCTTCCAGCTTGTCATCTCCTTTGTGTCTCTTGCTTGGCTGTTCTGCTGCAAAGTACAAACACAAAAACCTAACTGCACATGATTAACTTAAGCAGGGAAATTAGCCATAATACTACTGAACCTGTTTTTATTTGTCAGTGCAAATACTTTCCAATAAAACACCTCAAAAATACAACCTGTCACCTTTGGAACTACCATTAGAGTGCTGGAGGTTTCCAGGTTGAGAACCTCACCCTGTCGACTACCAATGATGGACAGGCTCAATAACCATTAGCGAGGCAAAGGAGGTTGTGGGAACAAAATATTGACAACGGAAAATAGCAAATCATAGAGAGCACAATAGAGTTTAGGAGCCCAATAGCTTTTAAGTCTATATTCTGCTTCAGAAAAATGCACACCACAGCGCTCAGCAGACTCCCAATGATATTCTTCAACAACAATCGTTTGCAGGCTGCCATCATCAAAAGGCCACTGGGAAATATTCCTCACAAAACATGCAAAACAAACAGACAGCACCTTGTCCTTGTGTAATACAGTTTATTAATCGATGAACATACAAGCTGATATAAAATACTACTCACATGGTAATCACTGAATGAGTGGTACAAGGCAAACCCCACACAAAGCTGCCTTGCTAGCTGAGGCGTTTTTGGGAATATACCCCCTTCCTCAGAAACGCCTAGCAAGGCAGCTTTGTGTGGGGTCTGCTTGTACCATTCATTCAGCGATTACTATGCGAGTAGTATTTTATACCAGCTTGTATGTTCATCGATTAATAAACTGTATTACACAAGGACAAGGCGCTGTCTGTTTTGCATCTATATTCTGCTTACTGGACAGTGAAAAAAATAGCTTGGTTGCATTGACTATGTCCTTTTCCAGAACCTAAAAAGAAGCCAAAAGGGCAGTGATCATTTTAGTTGTTTCATACATATTATTTTTTTTTTTTTTCTAACAAGAAATGGAGTCCCTTGGACTTAAGCTTGTCAATGGGAAAGCAAGGCATCTGTATTGGGTAGAAACGTGGATAATATGATTATTTACAGACAGGATGACGGCTTCAAAAGTAGACAGGAACAAGAAGCCCCCCCAAAAAGAAAATCAGTAGATATCTGGGCTAATGTGTCTGTAATTCAGTGATTACAGATGAAGATAAATGTAAATAACTGGTACTGCAGAACCTTATCATGTAGTAATCATTTTCAGTAGCTAGATAGTACTCATACCAAAAAGTGACCGCTTATCCAGGAACTACATGGAGAAAACTTACCTGCCTCCTCACCCCATTCTTCATCCTCTTCTTCTTCCTCCTCTGCTTTGCGTTTGTCTCCTGGTTTTGCCTTTTTCACCTTCTTTGCAGCCTTCTTCTCTGCTCTAGCCCGTTTCCTTTGTTCTACTTTTTCCTCTTCTTGCCTAGCTAGATTTGCTTCCTTCTCAGCAGCCTGTAAAGTAATAGAAAGGAGACCACATGTAGCTATAAATAAAAAATAATGGGCACACTACACTAAATAATGTAAATAAAGTGGCTTTTTCAAGGACGACCTGACCTTTGCACGCTGCCCACTGACTCGTGAAAGTCTACTTTCAGTTTTCTGAACAGCTGTATCCCAGTGCTCCAATGTCCCTGCGATGGAGAACAAAAACCATCTTTGATGTCGGACAATAAATGGAGGAGCATAAAACCTTTTTACTTGTTTGTCAGAGAAACATAACCAACCTTCTATTCTCTCCAGAGTGAGAAGAACCTCACACACGTGCTCAGGGTAATCTGAAGTGCACATGACAGCCCTATGCAAGGCTTTCCTGCAGTGCTGAATATCTCCATGAGCTCTGTAAAAACAACTGTGTGTTAAAGCATTCTAATACACCATGTGCTTTACATGCTACAAATCTACAGCCTTTATGTGCTGGAACTAGAAGGAAGAAGTATCAAAAATCTTCACAGAAGGTGAATACCATCTCACAATGTTATCCTCCAAATACAATGAAATACATCCTTTTTGTATAACTACCCCCTAAAAAAAACTTACACTCCCCCAGAGTTTTATACTCACCTGTCATTGCTCCTGTGTAATCCACACTAAGTGGCTCTCAGTCAGAGGCAAAATCGCTGCAAACTCTCCAGCCGGTCCCTCACTGCTTCTGTGCATACAGGGAATAATCCAATTAATTCCTATAGAGAGGCTGTAGATTGCTGGGATGCATAATAGGCTGACTCTCCTCAAAAACAAATGTTGCCAATGCACAGAAATAGTAAGGGACCAGCTGGAGAGTTTGCAGTGGTGGCTGTGCAGCAAAGTGGACATGTGAGTAAAAAACATGCAGGTGGAGCTCTACACAAAGAATGATTATACAGAAGTATAGTTCTTCAAAAAGAAAACTAAAAGATGCACACACTTTGATTAAACAGAAGAAACTTTGGACATAGAAAGGGTTAAATATCAGATGGGGTTAGTGCTCAAGTTTCCAAGAAAATGAGATGATGAACTGCTACCGCTAAAAATGCTAATACTTCCTAATACGTTGCAGATAGTTTATTCTTACCTCTCCAGGTTGTAGTACTCCAGCCACATATTGGCAAATTTAGAATTGCCTTTGGTCATGATGTTATCCCACAGCTCTCTGGCTTTTTGCATGTTCTTGCAGTGTCCAGCCTTAATGGGGTAGCAGAGAGAGTAAGTGATTTAAATATGGAATTTAAAAGCCAGACAGGCTTAGTAAAAAAAACAAAAACAAAAACTATTTAAGACCTCGACCCATAAAGCATGAATTCCATGAAACAGTCATAGATTTATTGCTTTTAAAAAATGAAAGTAAAATCGCTTGGTTTTAATTTTTTTTAATTCATCCCCACACAGATACCTCCTCATGTATTACTTGCCCCTCCCTTTTAGATTGTAAGCTCTCAGGGGCAGGGCCCTCCTTACCAACTTGTCTTGATTTGTATTGTAATGTCTTCCTTATATTGTAAAGCGCTGCTCAAACTGTTGGCGCTATATAAATACTATGTAATAATAATAATCATTTTGAAATTGATCTTTTATATCCGTGTTTTAGATTTAAGACAAAAGGATTCTCAAAGCACTATGGGTTATTGTCCCTGGTCTTACTTGTGTGTGTAGATTTCTCTGTAAAAAGCCTTTTACAGTAAATAGTAATGAGGCAAAGTAGAATCATGGAAAAGCAACCAATAACCACCAATTGCTGATTGGATAAAAGAATGCATAATATTCATATGTGATATTTCATATTTGCCCTACTCTAGTCCTTGCCAAAATAAACGCAATAAATAGGAACCCATTCTACATTTCCTGGAAACAGTAGAAAGCAATGTACCCCAAAAATAAATAGCTTTAAAAAGATTTCTACAACCAAGTACTAAACACAATCATGACATACACAGAGGGAAGTGCTAGATTTTCACATATTCAACTTCTCTCAAAAATGTTGCCGATTACAAGATCGAGAAATGCTAAAGTTCAGAAAAAAAAGTATTTCCGCTTTTGCAGTCAAACTCCACTATTTGTTTATTATGTTTTCTTATTCACACAGCGTACTAAAAATATATTTTTCAAAATATCTCTTACCTTTTAGTTGTCTCTGTAGTAGGGATGCATCGCTACCTATACTAGGATCAGTGCCGATAGAGTATTTGAGCGATACCTACCTCGATTCCTGGAATTTCCGGTCAGAGGGAGATTACCTCTGACCGGCAGTTCCATGAGGGAACAGCTTCCTGACTGGCTGGATGCTGATTGATGCCAGCGGAAGTACTGGTATCGGTACTCGGTATTGGCGAGTCCTGAAAGAAGAAATATCTCGCTACTCGAACTCAATACCCGAAAACCGGTATCTGTACATCCCTTCACTGTAGTGCAGACCTTTGGACAGATTGCAGGCTTCTCTGTACAATTTCAAAAGGAAACTCTAGCTGTCCACATAGAAAACACTAGGAACACAGAGCTTTTGCTCATTACCATTCAATGCATCTAGATTCCCACACAAAAGGGAAATTATCAAAACTGGAGTAGACAGAATCTGGAGCAGAATCCAATAAGATTCTTTCTCTACAATTTGTTCAGTAAGCTTTGAAAATGAAAGGTAAAAGCGGATTAGTTGCCATGCACAAGCTGCTCCAGATTTTGTCTGCTCCAGTGTTGTAAAAATCTAGTTTACAACTAACGAGATCTGTCAGCACAGGGTTAAATCATCATAAACATTAAACTCCGTAATTTTTAAAACTTTTTTTCCCCCTTTTTTAAAAATGTTATTTTATTTAAACTAGGGGGCACTAAAGGGTTATGTTTTTATTTACAGGGGCTTTTATACTTAGTATCTCTTAGTAGAATACAGTATTCTGTTGAGATACTTTGTATCAATTTGTAAACACACTAGCTGGCTCCAGCTTCACACAACAGTCAGCTGGTTCCGGCTCTATGACTGTCACAGCTCTGCGATCTCGCTGTGATCACATAACTGAGGGTCTGCCTCCGACCCCGAGGGACCCATCAATAGCAGTAACTCAATGAGCTGCTGGTCCCTAAACGGACCAGTGCTCATTGTACCGCATGACGGGATTATTCTGTCATCAGTCGTTAACGAACTGAACGACCGTGATAGGATAATCCCCTCATCAGTCGGGAAGCAGTTAAGCTTGCCTAATGAAGGGGGCAATAGGATTTTTGTGCTCACTGTAAAACCCTTTTTATTGAAGTCCTTTGAGAGCCACAGGAAATCTTAAACCGACTCATGCAACCACATGGCAGCAACGCAACACTCAATGTAAGAGGGAACATTGAGTGTTGCTTTGAGTTCCATGTGGCTCTTGTAAGGGGGAGGAGTATTGGGGAGATACTTCCCCAAAACTGGATGGTGGGAAAGAGCATATGATACTCCACCCAGTGAATGACATCAGTGATCAGTTACATGGTGTGAACCCGTTTTGAGGCAAACAAACTGCGGGAACAGGGAATAAGCATGCCCAGCAACCTACACAAACGAGGCAGCTCCTGATGCTCAGAGCGATCAGCCCACTCACCAAATGAGTATTTAGAGACACAGGGAAAGCGTGGAGAAAAGATGTCCATCTTCCCAGCATACTAGAAACAAAACTGAGGCATGCGGATGATAGGAGGAGTTATCCTGGGCTGGCCTATAGTTTTTTTGTTTACCAGTGTACAATCATTCTGCAGGCAGCAGTAAAACCCCCCAAAGGTTTAAGACTTTCTGTGTGACTCAAATGGACGAGAAAGAAATGCCTTGTGAAAAAAGTATTAACAAAATGATATACATGCTTACCTCTACCCTGGCCCAGATTTGCATTATACTGCAAGTTGGATCTCCACTTTCCCCAAATCCTGTGAGAGTATAAATAGTTACAAATTCACAAAATGACAATTACCCAATGTAAACTCACATCTCAATTATACATAATTATGTATAACTTTTTAATAGTATTACACATTGCTTAAAAATGTAATGCATTACAGGAACATAATTAAGACACGTATTTTACAAGTTAAGTGACAACATAATAAGTGCTTGATCAGTACAAAACACATTACTATATACATGCAAGTAAATACTTATTACGTTAAAATAAGCATATATGGTTCACTAAATATAGTTTTACATCAATTGGGCAAGACAAAGAGTAAAGCTAGTAAAAATTGTACAGATCAGGCCACCTCCCCAAACGGACCTAAATGTCCCTGACTCTCGTCGTATACACAAGCCCATCAAAATGCAGCTCTCCTATACATGTACTTTACTTACTTTCTTCAACTTCTTGTTTAAGGTAGTCAAGTGCGCGAGCAAATGCAGCTCTAAGCTCTTCTAGCTCTTTACTGGAATCTGGAAAAATAAGTTATGAGAAGCATGTAACTCTACTGTAACATGTGATAATATTGCCTGACAGAAAATGTTAGTTGACCAGCTTTAGCTAGAAATCTGGAAGTTGGCTTAACACCTATGCACTGTGTTCACACGCAGCTGACATAAGGGATACTGAGCTAAAATGCCTTTTATTTAGCCCTTAGCGTGTGCACAAACATCTGTGTGCTAATCCCGATTGGGGCCACAACAAACAAATTATCAAAATGACTAAGAATGGTGAAACCACAATGTTACACAGATGCTCCCCTTGTTTCTAAAGCATTTACACGTTTACACTGACCTTACACCCAAACCCAAGAGCAAAAATGTAATATATTGAAGCCTGTCAGTTCTTAGATGGGGTGATTGCATTAGTTTTCATTTTTCGGACCAAATACACTTTTGCAAGTACAGAAATAACTGAATTTTTCTACTTAACGTAAAATCCGCTTGTTGGAGTTAATTAAGGGACACCGGATCAGTAGTAAATCATGGACAGCTGAGTTATGCTGCCACCTAAGAGAAATTTGGACACTGGCAAACTAAAAGAGAAGCCAGTCAGGTAAAACTCCTACTACTCCCATCATGCTTCAGTTTTGTAGATAAGCAATATTAGTAGTAGATTTTAAAACACATTTGACATACTTGTGTCCCTTAATGAATTCTAAGAACCAGATTTCACAGGGAAGTGCAACATTCCGGTTTTCTTATTCATTAAAGAACACAGGATAAGAAGTTAATCAGAGGCAAATGGGACACCCAAAAGCAGTTCAACTGACGAATGGGCAACAGCAACAAAAACTCACTTAACTGTGTAAAAACTGGGGGATGCCTGCAGCACAAAGAGCTGCCTGAAAAGCTTTATGTGTAAAGCATCAGCTTGTAGCCAATGGACCCCCATGCATCTGATATGCTTTCTGACGGAGTCCGTAAAGGTCAACAGACATCTACTTTGGAAAATGCAAATTCATTGCAAAGAACTTGTCTGCAGGTTGGTTATATTTTGAAGCCCAGGACTCGTGGTTGAACTGGGTCTTAGTTCTGGCTTTGGCATAAGACGAAAAAAACAATTATTTTTGGTTTCAGAGATAAAAAGCTTTTCCAATTTGAGGCCTAGGCTCCTTTTGCTGAGGAAAATGAGATGAACAATATCAATTCATTTGTCAACACAACTATGTTATGCCGCAGGCTCCCAGCTGTCTCTCTGACCTCCACCCCCCTGGTGATATCAACTGTGCATGAACCCACACACACTTCTTCTTGCGCGGCCGTTCGGGAAGCTGGATTTTAGCCGGGAGTGAGTGGCGCATACACAGGTAAGCTTTTAGCTCTTTGACAACTTTTTTGAAGTGTTTTTGCATATATCTACTGCTTGCTAGCAGTAGATATATGTAAAAAAAACAAAACAAGGTATGAAATTGCAGAACCCGCTGCGGGACAGATCACTTGTTAATGAAACCCTCCTCTAATGGATACTCCCTTCCAATACCATCTCTATGCCGATGACACTCAAATCTTTCTTTCTACTCCACAACTCTCCCCCTCTGTGTCCTCTCATGTCACTAATCTACTATCCGACATATCCGTCTGGATGTCGCAACACTTCTTAAAACTCAATCTCTCAAAAACTGAGCTCTTGATATTTCCTCCCCCCGTGCACCTTCCCCCAACTTTTCCTTTGAGATTGTTAACACAACTATCCACCCCTCCTCCAATGCCAGGGTCCTAGGTGTCATCCTTGACTCGGACCTCACCTTTCTTCCCCACATCCAATCACTATCCAAATCCTGCCGCCTTCACCTTCGTAACATCTCCAAAATACGCCCCTTCCTCACCGAGGAAACCGCAAAACTACTCATCCACTCGCTCCTCATTGGCTGACCTCTACACAGGCTATCCCCCCTTCAGTCTATCATGAATGCAGCTGCTAGACTCATCCACCTAAGCAACCGCTCAGTGTCCGCAACCCCCCTCTGTCAATCCCTGCACTGGCTTCCACTCGCCCAAAGGATAAAAATTCAAAACATTAACAAATCAGTTACAAAGCCGTCCACAACTCTGCCCCCGGCTATATCTCAAACCTGGTCTCAAAGTATCACCCTAACCGTCGGCTCCGCTCATCCCAAGACCTCCTGCTTTCCAGCTCCCTTGTCAACTCCTCCCATGCTCGCCTCCAGGACTTCTCTAGAGTCTCTCCCATCCTCTGGAATTCTTTACCCCAACCTGTCCGTCTATCTCCCACCTTGACTGCCTTTAGGCGATCCCTAAAGACTCATCTCTTCAGGGAAGCCTATCCCACCTCAACCTAAACGCTCGACCTTCACGTTCTCAAACAATTCATCCCCACACAGCTACCTCCTCATGTATCACTTCCCCCTCCATTTTAGATTGTAAGCCCTCAGGGGCAGGGCCCTCCTTACCATCTTGTCTTGATTTGTATTGTGATTGTAATGTCTTCCTTATATTGTAAAGAGCTGTGCAAACTGTTGGCGCTATATAAATCCTGAATAATAATAATAATAATAATAATACTGTTCAGAAAAACGTTTGAAGGGAGAACACCTTATCAGGAACAATGCAGTCTTCATACAGGATAGGTTGAAGTAAGATGTGTACTGGAAAGGTTTTGACAGTCTAAGGACCTTTTAGGTCATAAGACTGTCGCCCAGAAAGTTTTGAGTGCGGGCTGTTGTATCTGTGAACATGTGTGAACCGTATCAATTAGATGCTATATGGTACAAACCCATCTAGAAAGGATTTGTGAAACTCATCCCCCAGCCTATCCACAGCAGAAGGCTCAGAGGCTGTGGCATTAAATGTCCAATAAAGACTTAAGAGGGGATGGCATAAAAAGGTACGCTTACAGCCCCTGCTTTCCAAGTCATTTATCGTGGTAGTGATTTTGGTCATAAAATCTAGCATAGCTGCAAAAAACATCTCTCTGGATGAGGCATAAGAGGGGGCCACACCTGAAGGAGCTAAGGGAGCCTCTGAAGAGAGTGTAGATTTTTAACAGGGGACAGGCTGTCGTCAGGTCCCTAAGGAGTGGCACTGCAAGCTGTCCCAGAGCAGTTACTGGATTGATAGCTGAAGAGGCCCATGTGACTGCTTCCTTTGTGTTCGAGATCCAACATGTTGCATCCTGACAGAAATCCAGTATTCTTCAGACTTCCTGTGGCCTGAACTGCAATCTCAAACAGTGTTATCAGCTTTCCAACCATCTTCTGTTAACTACACAACCCTTCCTGCTCCTTCATAGATACAGTGCAGTAAGTGAGTTAGATGTGTGTTACTGTAAGGAGCATGGGGGTAACAATAGAAGGAAACTAATGCAGCCACAACTTTTATATATTACATTTTTGGTTTTGGATGTAGATACTCTTGAAGCATTATAAAATGTTACATATATGCCACTTAAAGCAGAAGTTTGAGCAAAAGTTCTTAACCTTTGCAGTGGGTCTACCCCTACACTGCAAGGGTTAAGTGCTTGTCTAGGTGCTAAAAAAAAAAAAAAGAAGTTACACTTACTCGATCCTCGGAGTCGGCTTGCTCTTAGACAGGTCCTTGGAGCCTTTCTCCCTCTCTGATGCAGTGGTCTAAGGATCCTTAAGTCACCACGTCTTGTACAGTGTATAGGACATGAGGACATTGAGGGACATACCATCGTTGCAGGGGAGGAGAAGGCTGGCAGGACTGCCTGCAACTCAAAGAACCACCTGAAGGGACTTATGCCCGAAGCTGGCATCAGCTGAGGCCTAAATAGCCACCTGGTAACACTTGGAGAACATTTGAACAGAAGACCTCAGGTGGCAGCCTGACAAATCAGGGAAACAGAAACCTGATGCCAAAGAGGCCAAGAGGCACTCTTGATCTAGTGCAGTGTGCCAGGACATTGTGGCCTGAGCCACTGATAAATAATGGAATGAGAAGCTGGTTCATCAGGAATAACAAAGAGTGAGTCTTTCTGAAGTAGTGGTGGCAATATAAACTGTCACAGCCCTAACTACATCCAGGCAATGGCGGGAGGTCTCTTTGTATTGAACTGGGGCCGGACAGAGGGACAAAAGAACGGTGTCCTGGTTGGGGTGAGAGTCCTAAGCTACCTTGTGTAGGAAGAATGTCTGGGCCTTAACACCACCATTTCCTTGTGCAAGACCAGAAAGTTTTTTATAGGATAAGGCCATCAGCTCAGAATGAATGCGCCGAGAAGGGGCAGAGAGCTAAACTCAAGCTTGTAGCGCCTGGAAACCACCTCCTGAACCCAAGCATCAGCGATACAAGCTGTCCAAGTGTTTGCAAAGGCTAACAGATGCCCCTCCCACTTTGGAAATGGAGGCGCACCCTAAAGCTGAAGATTTATCTGAGGGTCTTGGGGACTTGGAATTCCAAGGTTTGCAGGAGGAAGTAGCCATAAGACGTGATTTTGGGCTTAGGGCTTGTTCACACCAATTGCGGTGCGTTCCAGAGCGGTAGCTGCTGGAACGCACCACAATCACTTACAAAACTTCCCCCTGCGTTCTGCGGCGGGGCGGTGCATTGAAGTCAATGGCACCGCAGCCGCACACCCCGCATTGCGATCAAAAGCGTGGCAAAACATTGCCTGCTTTCCGTTCCACTGCAAACGCAAAAAATGATGCATGCTCTACCGCTCTGGAACGCAATGCAATTGGTCTGAACAAGCCCTTGAGTTTGGGGTCATGAAGGAATGAAAAGTATCTTTCTGGACCTTCGTCTAGCAGCAAGTCTTCCCAGGGAGAGCATTTGGCTCCTTCTGCAAAGGAAGTACTCTTGCCACTGGTGTAGTCTTTGATGAGTGGATTCAGACCAGTCCCACAGGTTGCAATGCAGGACCTGGCACTGTCTCCGGTTACTGCCAACAGCTGCCCTACTAAAATCAGGTGAAGTACCCACCATGATGTGCTCATATTTTGACTATCTTCATATCTTTTTTGTGGCCTGGGTTCAGCCTTACAAAAAATGCAGGTCTTTGAGCATGTTAGCATGCCGAAATTTTTTTCAAAAGTAAGCATTCTCCCATGGAGTGTGTCAGCGAACTATACAAAGGCACCCCAATAAGTAGTGGCAGGGCAAGGAGCATGACCCAACTCCAAAAGTAGGGGAACCCAATGTGTTCAAAACTTGCAGATTGCGATCTCTGCTCTTACACTTCATTTGCACACTTAAATCCATCCCCAGAGCAAAAATTCTGAATACGGACAAGGCATATGCTCACAGTTTCTTCACACCAAACAGATTTTTTTATAGGAACATGGCATAGGTTATAGAGCAAAAGAACCACATAAATTTAAATAAATTTCAGTTGTTGAAATGTTGAAAACAAATTCATGGATGACGATGGAGGCATCTCATTTTTATATATGAGATATAAGAATAATTTAATACTGTAACAGTCAGAACTTCAGGACATTCAAACAGGAGCTGTGGTCAGATTCAGCAGTTACCTTTTGTGAAGTCTACTCTTCTTCGGAGATAGTCCAGGTATGACTGCCAAATCTCCACATAATCTGCGGCTTGGATGAATCCAGCATTAAGAGCCTTTTCAAACGTTTCTAAGGGAAAAAACAAAACACTGAGGTCTGTAACTCCTTTAGAGTGGTTAAATGTCTCTTTCGAAATTCTACAGCTTGCATGATCACTCACTTTTGGTGGATTGCCTGTTCTCAGATTCACAGCTCTGCCATACTCATTCAATTCCCTAATGAATGCAATAAAGCATATCTAAACTCAAGTAGAAACGCTATTTTTGCCCTTCTCTACAATGGATGTAAGTTTTTAGATGTGGTAACTGCATCATTATCTTTTGCAGGATATTTTCCCTTTACTATACTTACCTAAAACTTAATACCTGCCACAATAAACACTACCTGTCATTAAAAAGACAGAAAATAGAAATTACAAATGGGTTTATTAAAAATAAGCTAATCATAAAAAGGATCTAAGTTTCTCAACAGCTTTTTTCCACTGCTACCCAATTCAGAAATTAATTAGGCTCAATATATTGCTGCAGTGTTTGAAAATGCTTTCTACTTAAAGGGAACACATATAGCTGTTAAAGTAGAACTATGGCTTCCAATTAAATAAAAAATGTGCTGCAACACGAGAAAACTATGGCCAAACATTTTTTGGGTTTAGTTCTATTTTGGGTCACAGGAAGAAATGTACTAATGTCCTTCTGTGACACAAAACTCAGTATATAGCGGATATGCAGACAACAGAGCAGCACTGTAGCCGGGAAAGATTCCGACAATATTGTCGGGATCTACCCCACTGGCTGATTGACAGCTGTCTCTGCTCTGCCTCTCTAGAGCCAGAGCAAGCTGTGCCCGCCTCCTTCCCTGTCTGTCCCTCCAGTGAGCACTGGAGGAACAGAGAGGGGAGGTGAGAATCCCTGCAGGGAGAGGTGACTGATAGTCATAGAAGGCCATGGACTGAGCGATCAGCGGTTTGTGAACGTTCAGTTCTTGATCAATAGAGCCAGCGTGTGACAACTGCAGTGTCACACACCGGCTATAACTATAAGGCTGAGTGTATTCCACTCTCCCCATAGTGATCCCTAAATTGTAAGTGCATCTGCATTTACAGCTTTCTCTTCCCTGTAAGTCCCACCTGTTGTAAATACCAAAATACCTGTTGTATCCACCACTGAAGTCCTAATGCAGCTTCCGGTGATGGTGTGCCAACAATGCAGAGCAGAGTTGCACGCTCATGCAGGAGCATGGCTATCAACACTGTCACTGCTCATTCATAAGCCTCTAGCTTGTCAATCATCACCTGGTCCCACCTAGTCCTGTCCACTGCTTTCTTAATTGGAAAAACTGTGCTGCTAAAACCCTTCCACTGTGAGTTGCAGTGTCTGGGAAAGCAAGCACCAGAGATGCAAATGAGAGAGAATATGGCTCAATGAAGGAAGGTGAAAGTTTTTAAATTTACTTTATGAAGCTGGTACATCACAAAGTAACTAGATTTGGTACTTGTTTAGACTGCCATACAAAAGCTTTTAGGTGTACTTTAACTGCCACAGTTTAGAATCCCATTAAGACCCATGTCGCACTTGTTCTTGCGATGCTAATGACAACTTGCCACTGACAGGCAAGTAGAGAGGGCAGAAAAGCTCACCTGTTTCCATAACATCACCTGTTTGCCAGCAGGGAAGAATTTGTAAAGGTTTTAAGATAGGGAGGATAGCCCTGCCACCTCTAGTAATCCTGTGGACGCAGTGGATCACAAGTGTGTCATAGGCTTAAAGCGTAATTCCATTTTGCAGCCAATCACCTATTTTAGGTATGCTGTGTGAATAGGAACATATAGTGGGGTTTGCCAAAATTGGAACTACACTGGAAGCGGCAATAATTATAGAGGATAAGCATGCTGCAGAAGCATCATACCCAGTCGCTTGCATGTCATTGGGCTACCAACTTTCCAAGGGTCAGGAAATAATAGCCCTAAATACTGCAGGGGTGCTTTAGATGTGCTGAAATAACATTAGCCCTGATAGTTTTTATGTAAAAAGACTGCCCAATAAAAATGTATTCTCCATGTTTGTGAACTGCAAAAAGAAAAAAAACACACACATATTGACATGTTATGTTACTGCTTACAACGTTGTTTACTTAGAGGTAGCAGACCAGGACTTACCAGCTATAGTGTTGTGATCTACACAATGTCGCTCCATGGCGAGAATACAACTCTTCCAAAGGCCAAATGTCCATGGACAATTTCGGGAAGCCCGGTCATGAGCAGAAAGAACCAGTTCCTTCACTTTAAGCTGTCTGTCCTGCAGGTGGATGTAGTAATGGGAAAGTATTTACTTTTCTAGAACTAAATGTACACTATTCAAAAGCCAGCACTGTAGACGGTAAATGAACAAATCTCTGAAAATTAAAACAAGTTTTACTTGAATTTTAATATGTTAAATTCCCCAATGTGTAAACTTTGGGAAGATCAACAGATTTGCAGATGTCACCTAATAGAATTGATAATAAATATTTTAGAATATTTATCCTTTCATTAGGACAAACAAGATCAGTACATCCCAATCTCCATATAAAAATCAAGAATGTCAATTTAAAGTCAAATTAAAATGGATACGGCAGGTTTCGGACACAGTTGTCTTTAGTCAGAAGTTTGTGTCACATTTAATTGAACGTTAAAAACACACATTTCATTATGCCATATGTGCTTCTGTTCTGTAGATACGGAGATGGCCATTCCAGTACACTTGCATAAATCTATTAAACTGGGTGGGAGGGTACATAACAGTAGATCCGCACCAAAATTGCAAATATGTAAATTCAAAGTCAAAGATTAAAGTGATGGAGTACAATCTCAATACAAATTAGTAAACTAAACGTGAGATTGTAGTCCATCACAGGAGTAAGCTTGGAGCAGTGACTACTTTACAACACACACAGGGACCATGGGGAACAAAAGTAGCCACCCTCCAGAAGGAAGGACAGTGTCAGCACCAATTCAGAGATGATTTGGGGAGCTACAGTCGAGGGATACACAAATAAGATACATTATTGTAAATAGTTATGGTACCTGAATGCATTTTTAAGATTTAACTCCTGAGCTTTGTGTCATTTAAAGATTAAATCCACAAAGCCTAAAAAATATTCTTGGGGATGCCATATTCATTGAAAAAGACTGCTTAAAATCTGACAAACTGCAGGAATGGGAGGGAGCTGGGAACTTAGTAGTCTAAGTGAATACTTTGTAACAGTTGCAATGAAGAGATATTACATTTTTTGGCAGCTGTGGAAAATCATAGCTGACTAAATGAAGATAAAAATATGGCTTCTATAGAAAATGTTAAATATATTAACATAACTGGACATTTCAGTTAGGTGTAAAAGACTACAAGACATGGCAAAGTTGCCTCCCCTCTATAATGCACTGGGGTCAGCATTATCTGCCCATTATAAACCATTCAACCAGATACTCACAAGGTACTGAGTGTATTTTGCCCAAAGATCTGGGACCAAACAATTCTCAGCCAAGGCACGTTCGAAAATAAGCTGGATGCGAGCTGGATCGCCTTCCTTCATTTCAAAGTCAATGTAAGCTTGGTATTCTGCTAACTTCGGAGTTTCAGCAGCCAGCTAGAACACAAGATGGAAAACATGAGTTGATTACCTGATAACTCTGTTTCCAGGAATCTTCCAGGACAGCCATCGAGATATAGGCTCCGCCTGCCTGCAACAGGAAACACATCAACCACATTAAATAAATAGACTCCTCCTTCCATCCCAAACATCCGTACCAGACTCCAGGCTGGTTTGTAGCTTATTCAGCCACACCCCCAAAGTCCTGGCCACACAAGTAATAGCATTATAATCATTAAGGCCTGAAACAAACAACAAAGAACAAAGCTTGGAGAGTGGCTTGCTGCAGGCTGTGCGTGTCTATGGATGCAAGCAGCTAGGTGCGGGCACAGCCATGAACACGCACACACAGGTGTCTCCTCAGCAGCCAGCTAGCTGATAAGACACCCACACATTGGGGCAGGTGTCTAGCAGTTCAGGGATTAATAAAAAATAAGGAAATAAAGTTTAAAAAAAAAAAAAAAAAGGTTATTACAGTCCCTCTGGCACACTTAATTATAAAAAAGAAAAAAAAAGTTAATATTTAATATCACTTTAAAGAAATCTGAAAAGTGTAAATGATTCTCACCAATGCCTCTTCATATGGCTTATACTTCTCTACTTGTTGTAAGGCCTTCTTGTAATTGTGTACAACAGAATCAGCAATGGGTTCCTCTGACCAGTCCACATACTCTCCATATGTTGATTCCATCTCTGTTGAGCATGCAGCAGATATGTCATCATTTGGAATTAAAAGAAAGAATATTACAACACATACACTTACTAAAACTCAGTAATTTGCTTATTTGGAAAGAAAACTACTTTATACAAGGAAAGGTAGCAAAATCAATTAATTCTATATATTTGTGCACATTTGTTCCTAAAATATGTTTACCTAAAGATGAGCGCCTGTGCTGGTAAACTTGCACTAATCAGACATACAGGAAACCTTGATCTTGCAACGGGCAATCTGTGCAGAAACCATGGCACTGGAACGGGTTTCTGCATCAGGCTATATGTGCAGAAACCATGGCACTGGAACGGGTTTCTGCATCAGGCTATATGTGGAGAATTTATAGCACTGGAACAGGTTTCTGCATCAGGCTATATGTGGAGAAATCATGGCACTGGAACAGGTTTCTGCATCAGGCTGTATGTGGAGAAATCATGGCACTGGAACGGGTTTCTGCATCAGGCTGTATGTGCAGAAGCCATGGCACTGGAACAGGTTTATGCATCAGGCTATATGTGGAGAAACCATGGCACTGGAACAGGTTTCTGCATCAGGCTGTATGTGCAGAAACCATAGCACTGGAACAGGTTTATGCATCAGGCTATATGTGGAGAAACCATGGCACTGGAACGAGTTTATGCATCAGGCTATATGTGGAGAAACCATGGCACTGGAACGGGTTTATGCATCAGGCTATCTCTGCAGAAATCATGGAACAGGGTATTTTACTGTAATAACAGACAATAAGAATTGGCCTTACCTAGGAGTGGCACACCCAACTGCCGTTTAAACAATGTGTGGATTCTTTCAAGTTGCTCAGTTAGCATTTTCTGCTGTTCTGATGAAGGGACGGCACCCGGCATTGGCTAGTTAAACAAAAATATCTGATCAGTTAAGTGTTTGCATTTTTACAGAAACTAAACCAAAAATTAACTAGTCTTAAAGGAATTTGTTGGATACAAATAATCAAATATAATGTTTGTATAATCTCAATATACTTTCACATTACATGTGATTTTAAACCCAGTTCACACAGAACACACAGATCATTTCAGAATCTCATTACCTGGATGGTGCCCAGAATTGCATTCTCAAATTCTCTGAAAGCATCCCATATTGCGGATCCTTTGGTCATATGAAGTCCAACAGCTGTCAAAGCCCTCTCAAAGATTGAGCGCACTTTGGCAATGCCTCCTTCATCACCCATTCCACCAATGGAGTACTGAGCATATTCAAGCCAAATTTCAGGACCTAAAGCAATGCAAACAGACCAGACAAACAATAAAAAAGCAATAACTTCCAATATGCAAAGGCAGCAACCAATTAAGATTTCTGCTCACAAAAGGCAGATTACTAAAACAATTCTTACTGCTTGCCATAAGTTACATCAATCCATATATTGATTTTGGCCTATTAAAATAAACCCCAATGCTTTCCTCTGCTAATTTTTCATGTCATTTATGATAAATTATGACAGGTAAATATCTAGAGACACTTTCGGCATTGCACATATAGAGGCGGGCTAGAGTCCTAAGTTCTAAAACCCAGGTAGTTCACATGCTCGAAAAGCAGAGCACAAACTATTCATGCCCCATCAAGTAAAAATGATCAGGCAGAGTAGTTCTGTATAGGTTACATATAATATAATAACAGCCACAAAACAATAAGAGAGTCAAAGTATATGAGCCAATTTACAATGACAATTCTCTAACAAGCCAACATATTTGATGACTTCCAAAAGGGGACTCCCTTCATCAGGGCTTTAAACGTACAGACAAAAAGGATTCCTGACCCATACAGACTCGTACTTCTAATGCCGCTTTCAAGGGGGCTTGAACTA